TAACTAAAGGAAGGACTATAAAACAAAAAGATGTAACTGAGAATTGTAAAATTCTTTAAGACCTCACAAATAACCAAAATTGTGTCTCATTAAAACAGGGCTTCTGAGAATCTTAAGGAAGCTGTCACTCAGCCATCTCAGCCAAAGTTCATGCTAAGACATTTTTGTGTATGGCTTTTATGCAATGGACTGAAGCCCAATAAGAATCACAGGAAACCTACAAAGTTTTTTGGAAAATTCTATTGGCAAAAATATCACCTCAGTATGCCTGCCCCATCACTGGAGGTGGGGTACAGGAGTACAGATGATTTGTCTTTTTAGTTTAAAAGTCTTTGAAAGGAGCTATCCTTAAGAAACTACACCCAAGGATCTTCATCCACACCTGGATTTAATTTAGATGATGAAATTCTAGACTTAGAGATGATGCTATAATGGGATAAGACTTTTGGGGGATCTTGATTTGCATGCGGAAGAAAAAGAAATAATTTGTGGCCAGAGGGAAGACTGGTGGTTTAAAAATATGCCTACAAATTATTTGACACTACCTTCAAAAGGTGAAGCCTAAATCCCTTACCCTTGAATGTTGACTGCACTTATTGACCTGTTTCTAATGAATAGAATAAGGAAGACATGATGGTATATGTGGTTTCCGTGACTAGGTCATAAAAAGGCACTGAAGCTTCCTTCTTGCTTTCTCATGCACTGCTTGCTCTGGGGGAAGCCAGCTGTCACGCCATGAAGACACTCAAGCAACCCTATGAAGAGTCCATGTGGCAAGGAACTGAGGCCTCTTGTCAACAGCCACGTAAACTAGTTTAATTAGCATGGTAAAAAGTGCTCAAGGTAGAGACTGCATTCAGAAATTCATTCTCACGTCATTTTTCTATAGCTTCATGATTTATTGTTTTCCACCAACAAGTCCTGACATTTTAGACATATAATATTCCAAAACTATCTTTCAGAAAATGTACACTTTACAATCAGCTAAAATGCTTTTCTAAATTGAAGCAATTTTGTTTAGCCTTTTAATTAGGAAAGGACCAGAGACAGAGTGAATGATCTTTAATTTAATTTTAATTTAATATAGATGCAGTCAGCTTAGTTACCAGCCCAGTTACCAGGAATCCTAAATAAAATGTTCCTACATAATTTAAATATTCAAAAATGAACAAACGTTTACTGAGTATCTGGTACTGCAATCAGCAGCACTGTTATAGTCATGTAGGTACACAGAAGTAGATCAAGTATAAGAATAATTATTTTTTGAAAAACAGTCTACATATGCAGATAGGTAGAAAAATCATTCATCCAGGGATTCTGAAACCTGGTTTCTAATCCCGGCCTCACTGCAAAGAACTATGTTATTTTAGAAAAGCATTTTGAAACTTAACTTCCCTATAAGACATAGGCATGTATTGTTTTAGGGATGGTAATTCCAGGGAAAACAACAATACAGTTGTTATGAACTTTTTTTTTTTTTTTTGCATAATACCAAAATACCAGGATTAGTGCTTCTAGGATAGATTAGAGAAGCTTCAGTGTTTAAAATAAGCTAATTTCTTGACCCTTAAAACAACCTGGTATAGTTGGAAGAGCAACAGTTATGTCTATTTTACAGATAAGGAATCTAAGGATCAGAAAGGCAAAGTGACCTGCCTCTCTCTATATTATTGTCAACCAGGACTGTGTTTAATTTTCGGACCCTCAAATCATGGTTCTTTCTACTACACCATACTATTTCTCAGCATCACTAAAAAAGGCCATTCTTCTCACTTCATTGACATGTCATTCCCACCCTTCCATGCCTAATCACAAATTCCTTTTCCCCCACCCATACCCCCACCCCCATCCCATGAATTCCCTTCATATATCCAAACCCAGCCCTCCACTGAGATTCTACTTCCTCTTGAATCTTTCCAAGATTAGTCCAGTTCACAAACTCTTGCTTCCTTCTCCAAAGTCCCTCCAAACATAGCACTTTAGAATTTAATTAAGCTGCTATGACAAATTAGTTTGGCTACTGGCCAACCTAACCAATGCCTTTAGAACAGTTACCATGACTTGCAAAACTTTTATTTACCTCTTTACATGCAGTAAAAATGGGTTGTTCAAAAAACATATTTTATTTATTAAATGTATATTAATGATTCAAATGTTTCCATAAAGGCAGTACCTTGACTTGCCAAGGCCTCACTAATGAATGCCTTCTATTCACACACCTGACACCATCTCTACAGAAATTTAATTTCCTTGCAATGGCTGCCATTTTCTATCCCTGTCCTGCCCTGAAGTAACTCATTCTCTCCTCCTTTCTGGGACCAGCAAGAACCCTCGTTCTCCCTCTCAGTTAGGGAGTTCTCACTCACTCCTAGTACCTGCAGTACCAGTTAATACTTAATGTATCACACTGTAACTGTCCATTTTACTTGGTTAAAGCTTAGCTTTCACCAATCCTCCTCAAACCATTAAAACAACTGAAGAGAAGGGAACACTTCAAACTCATTCTGTGAGGCCAGCATTACCCTGATACCAAAATCAAAGGCACTATGAGAAAACTACAGAGCAAGATCCTTGATGAATAATAATGTAAAATTCCACAACAAAATGCTAGCAAACAGAACTTTAAAAGGATTATACATCATGATCAAGTGAGATTTATTCCTGGAATACAAGGATGGCTCAATATATGGAAATCAATTGATGTAATATACCACATTTACAGAATGATGGGGGAGTGGAGGGAGAGAAACATGATCATCTCGATTGATGCAGAAAAGGTATCTGGCAAAATTCCACAACCATACATGATAAAAACACTCAATAAACAAGGAACTGAAAGAAACTACCTCAACATAATAAAAGCAATATATGAAAAGCCCAAGCTAACATCATACTGAATGGTGAAAAACTGAAAGCCTTTCCTCTAAGATCAGGAATAAGACAAGAATGCCTGCTTTTGCAACTTCTAGTCAGCATAGTACTAGAAGTCCTAGCCAAACCAATTGGGCAAGAAAAAGAAATAATAGTCATCCAAACTGAAATTATCTCTGTTCCCAGACAACATAATATTACATGTAGAAAACCCTAAAGAAAAACTGTTAGAACTAATAAATACAGTAAAGTTGTAAGATACAAAATTAACATGCACAAATCAGTTGCACTCTTATATACTAACAGTGAACAAGCTGAAAAGGAAGTGAAGGAAACAGTTCCACTAACAACAGCATCAAAAAAAATAAAATACTTAGGAATAAACCTAACCAAGAAGGCAAACTTGAAAACTACAAAACACTGAGGAAAAAAATTAAAGACACAAATAAATGGAAAGACATCCCTTGTTCATAGACTGGAAAACTTAATGTTAAGGTTTTTCTACTACCCAAAGAGATCTACAGATTTAATTCAATTCCCATCAAAATCCCAATGGTATTTTTTGCAGAAATAGAAAATTCATCCTAAAATTCATGGTGAAGATGTGGAGAAATTTGAACCCTTGTGCATTGCTGGTGAGAATGTAAAATGGTGCAGCCACTATGGAAAACAGTATGGCAGTCCCTTAAAAAAATTAAAAATAGAATTACCATATAATCAGTAGTTCTACTTCTGGATATATATTCAAAAGAATTAAAGCAGGGTCTTGAAGAGATATCTGCACATCTATATTCATAACAGCATTATTCACAATAGCCAAGAGGTAGAAGCAATGCATATGTCAATAAACAGAAGAATGAGTAAGTAAAATTTACTATATACATACAATGTAATATTATTCAGCTTTAAAAAGGAAGAAAATTCTGACACATGCTGCAACATGGATGTGCCCTGAAGATGTCATGCTAACTGAAATAAGTCAGTCACAAAAACACACTGTATGACTCCACTTATATGAGGCATCTAGAGTAGTCAAGTTCACAGAAACAAAACAGCGGTGACTAAAGGGGCTGGGGGTAGGAGAAAATGCGGAGTTGTTTAATGCATACAGTGTTTCACGTTTGGAAGATGAAAAAGTTCTGGAGATTGGATGCACAACAATGCGAATATACTTAACACTACGGAACAGTACACTTAAAAATGATTAAGACAGTAAATTTCACGTTACATGTATTTTACAATTAAAATTGATTTTAAAAAACCTGAGCTCACTTCCAAAATAATCTCAAATTTTAACTCCAGAAATACAGATGCTAGGCCTCAAGATTTTTAGTGCATCAGAACTAGCTTCATAATTCCTTTTCCAGAACGAGTTTCGTCTGCCCAAATAGGCTGAAAACCTGGGGCAGCTTCTGTGATCAAATGGCTGAACTAACGTGGACAATGAATTCCACTGACGTAAAGCTGGGCATTGTAAACTCAAAAGAATTTCTGCCCACTGTTTATTGCATAATACTTAAAACTAACACAATATTCTGACTGACTTATGATGCTTCCGTTTCCAGCAACTTCCTCAATAACGTTGAGTTCCAGGCCCTGAAGAGAGAAAACGGAACAAGACAGACAGCATCTATGTTCTTGCAGCGTTTACAAAACAGCACGGGAGACAGACGAATAACATAACTCGCGCACGCCCCATAAAGCAAAAACACCCAGCACGTAACTCCATTCGGGGGTAAGCGACAATGGTCACACAATAAACGTATTTTCGCCAAAAAAGTAACTTCTCATTTCTTTTCATTTAAAAACGCTAAACTAAGGCCGCTGAGGTTTTCGCCTGTCCCCAGCACACGGAAGGCTCCCGCTGAGCCCCGGGAGCTCGCGCTAGGGGAGCACTGCGCCCCTCGGGTGCGCCCCCCTCCATGCGGCTCCGGAGAGGCGAGGATCCCCGAGGGCAGGGAGGGCAGGACTGGCTAAGTCAGAGCAGGGGCGGGCAGGGGCGAGCTTTGCCTCTGAATCCCAGAAAATGGGCGCGGCCCTCAGAAGCCGGAACTCCGCCGCCAGAGGTCGAGCGCGCAGCAGGACGGACGAAGGGCGGCCGGCAAAGACTGAGGGAGGGGGCGACGTACCCATTCGGATGTGCACGCTGGCAGAGGCCACGCAGCTGCCATAGTTGAAGTCATCCTCGATCGAAGAGCGAGGGTAGCGAGGGTCAGAGACGGCCATGTCGGCGCTAGAACCACTGCCCTCGGAGGACTCCACCGACCACAAAGGCCTTCCACCCACTTCCGCGATGATGCAATCCAGCCCCAACTAGCCGAGCCGCCTCGGCGGGACGAAGCCCGAGCTAATCGATGATCTCACCTCAAAAAAAGAAAAAAACTCCGGTTAGTGTGAGAAAGAGGAGATTGCTTCGGTTTAGGACTGGAGAGAAAACGGATTACATTCCCAGCATCATCCGAAGTAGAACTTTTCTGAGATCTTCAACAAGCTTTTTAAATCTCACTTGAAGAATTGCTAAAAGATAGAACTGATGGCCCACTCATCCATTCATTCAATAAATACCCATCTCATTCATCCTCTCCTTCAATAATCACACCGGGATACACTTTGAATTCTGTTATTTTTAATCATCATCATCATCCCTACATTTATTGAGCATTTTCTCGCTTATTTAGCGTATTACTCGTCTTAATACAACTCTATAAGATTTATTATAGAGGACAAACTAGTTGAATTGGGAACCCATCTTTTTATTGAGTAAAAACAGCATTAGCAAAGTTTGATCCCCTACCTCTTACCAGTTACAAAAATGAGGTAATGCTTAATCCTGAGAGGCAAATAGGAGCAAGCCTGGTAGAGCAGAGCCATGTAGTTAGGTTCTCAAAGGACCAACATCTGCAAAGAGGGGGAGGGCAAAGCTCAGTGTAGGAGACAGGTGGCAAAGAATGAGGCTGGATAGATAAGCAAAGACAAGATCACTGTATGCCAAATGTAGAATACATTGGAGAGGGTCGTGAAAAACGGCGGGGAAAAGGGGATATTGTTGTATTAATCTAAGAGAGAGACGATGGTAGCAAATACAGTGAATCAGAATTGAATATTCATGACATTATTGTCATTCCAATATAAAGATGCGGTGTAGACATACTCAGAGTAATATCATCCCAGGGCCCCTTGGAATTTTTTGATGAGTTTTCTTTGATCCACCCATATTGTCGAGTCCTCACTTTAACCACAACACCTGAAAGACTCAGCAAGTAGAACTCAGAATAGCTGTGGAATAGTCTATTCTGAAACTAAATCTTTAAATTTGATGTTATCAAAAGACTTTGTCAAAAGAACTAACCTCACTTCCATAATGAAAAGAACAACAACAAAAAATTTTACCATTTATGATTTTACAAACATCTTACAAGTATATAACTCCTTTTAATACGAAGCCATAATAATAGGATTTATTATAGAGGACAAAAGAGTTGAATAGGAACCATTTGATCTCCTACGTCCTACCAGTTACAAAAATAAATTCCAGATGGATTATGGCTCTAAATGTGAAAGACAAAACAATAAAACTTAAAGAAAATGATATAGGAGAAAGAATGTTTTATAATTTGGAAGAAGGCAAAGATTTCTGAAACAGATACAAAATAGCAGTTTACCTCAAAGGAAGAGACTGACAAACTAAACTATATTAATAGACACAAAAAATAATTATATTTTGAAATGATGATTATGCTAATAATTCTAACTTGATCATTACATATTGTATACAAATAATGATAGTCAACTCTGTATAATCAGTTATCTTGCAAATAAAAATACATAAATAAGTAGACACTACCTTCTAAAAAATAAATAAAATAAAATAAAATTAGGAACTTCTAGTAATCAAAGCACATTATAAGAGAGCAAGCCATGGAATGAGGGAAGATATTTGTTACACATAAACTCTACATAAGTCTCCTTCCCAGAATATAAAAACAATTGTTACAAATCAAGACAGAAAAAGACAGGCAGTCAATAGAAAAATGGGCAAAAGACTGAAACAGACATGCACACAGTCAAATGGCTAGCAATCATATGAAAAGATGATTACCCTCATTAGAAATTGGAGAAATGCAAACAAATGCCAAAATGAGATATCTCTACTCACCCACCAGATAATTAAAATTAAGAGATTGACAATATCAAGTGTTGGCAAAACTATGGATTAACTGAAACTCAAACCAGAGTTGGCATCATAGGTATTTGACCTGTGCAATTGCACAGGGCCCTGCACTCAGAAGGACTCTGCACTTGGTTCAATACTCAGCTGTCACCATTTTGAAATTCTTTTTTTTTTTTTTGTCTTTTGTCTTTTTCCGTGTCCGGCAATGGATCGCAACCCTCAGTGTTGCCCCCGCACCGGACCGGGGACCGGCAACGGGATTGCAACCCTTGGTGTTGCTCCCGCGCCTCGCTCAGCCAGTGAGCGGGAACCGGTCTGCATGTGGGATCCGAACCCTCGGGCGGGAGCGCCGCCGCTCTTCCCAAGCGACGCACTTATCCAGTGTGCCACCGGGCCGGCCCTTGAAATTCTTAATAAAATAATTTTGCTGTTGAACTCGTGTTTAATGAATAAGTCTGAAAGGACCATGGAGCTTAAGCATGAATAGAAGAGGTACACGCAATCTGGGTGCCCACTATTTCCTGCCAACTACTTGCATTTAGCATTCAGGATGTCCCCTGAACACAGAATTCTGTTGACCTACAATGCATGGGAGTTAAGCTAGACTCAAAGCCAGCACAAGATAAGGATGTTACATCTACCACAGAGTAAAAGGAATGAGAGGGAGGACGATTACAACCCCAAGCTTTCCTTACCAAACAGAACTTACTTTGAATGCATATTGAAGTCAATGACTTTCTAAGAAACATGAATGACCAGGGAATCCTATCACATCCTTTTTTACTTGTGTTCCTTCCGTGTATTAGCCAACCACTTACACTAAAAACAAAATATAGGAGAAAAAAGAAAGATAGGGCAACCATAGCTCTTTTTCTTTTCAGTCTGTCTTTATCAATAAACTGAAGATACAGAGCATCTGTAGAATATGCACATAAAACAAAGTGAAACCAAAATAGTTGAATTAGTTTTCTGCAGCTTTTCCACAGTTTTTGTAAGAATTGAATACATATGGCATGTACAAACTATGAAATACAAATTGTGTAACTTTGGTGATTCTGCATTTGAGTTAAATACTTTCAATTTGTATTTAAAACTGGCATTGCACAATACAAAGATAAACGGTAAAATTTGTGCTAGTAATATTAAATGATATTTTTCTTTACTTACATTATGACATTGAATAGCAAGTAAAAAACATCATGGCAAGTCAAGAGATTGCAGAACAAACAAACAAACAAAAAGCTTTATATCTTAGCATCTCTAAATGGGATTTTTTTCCTGCTTTTGAACAATAGGCCCTACATTTTGTTTTGCACTGGACTGAAATTATGTAGGTGGCCCAAATAATGGAAGCATAAAATGGAACGACCCCTGTGGAAAATTGTTTAGCAGTAACTACCAAAGCTGAACATATGCTTCAAGTTCTGTGACACAGCAATTCCACTCCTAGGTAGAGTATATGCCCAACAGAAATGCATGTATGTTTACAAAAGACATTTCCAAGAATATAATTAGCAGTATTATTCATAATATCTAAAAATTGGAACATCTAAATGTCCACCACTGGAAAAATGGATAAATAAATTGTAGGATATTCATGCAACTGCATACTTTATACAGTGAAAATGAACAAAGAGCTACTATGCAACATGGATGAACCTCACACATATGATGCTGAGCAAAAGAAACCAGATACACAAAGAATATATACTGTGCAATACCATGTAAAATTGTAAAGCAAACAAAACTAATCTGTGGTCTTAAGATGTCAGGAAATTGTTTATCTTTGGGGAAGACAAAGGGACAATAATTGGGAGGAGGCACTTAGGAGGACTTCTGGGATTCTGGTAATGCTCTGCGTCCTTGCTGATTACATATATTCACTTTGTGATAATGTAGCAAGCTGTTTATACTACAGATCTGTGTGCTGTTCTGTTTACTATACCTAAATTTAAAAAATTGTTTTAAAAAAGTGAAAAGAAGTATTTGCTCCCTTTCAGTTTAGGTAAGAAAGTTATCTTGTGACAATAAAGCATTTACTTATAGACTTGGAATCCAACAACTCAGTACACTATTGTTCCTGTATTTCTTTTAAAGCCGTAATTTCAAGGAGGTGATTTATAAATAAAATCACTAATTTAAAAGAAATTTCCCTCTTCTTGTAAGGGCACCAGTCATTGGATTACAGCCTAATCTAATCCAGTATGACTTCTTCTTGGTTACCCTTGCAAATACCCTATTTCTAATTAAAGTCACATTCAAAAATACTGAGGGTTAGAAATTAAGCATATATTTTGGGGGTACACAATTCAACCCACAATACAGGGGTGGTGCTTTTCCAATTGGGTCTTAAAGGATAAGTAGGGGGTTACCAGGCAGAAGATACTGCAAAAATCCTAATATGAAGTAACTAGTACAGATGAGTTAGAAAAGACCCAAATGCTTATGAGAGATATTACGGAAGAACAGGATTTGGTGACTTATTAAATATAGGCACCTAGCACAATGTCTGGCATAATAGGTGCTCAGTAAATCCTTCTGAATATATCACTCAGTCAAAATTTCTCAGAGTTCCCTTGGCCCATGTGACCGGAAACAAGGAAGTTGATTTTATAGGAAATGATCAGTTTTGGGCATGCTGATCTGAGATGAAAGTAAGAAATCCAAATAGAATTGATCAATAAATACTGGAGATAGGCGTTGAGAAGGGAATGAGCAGTGCAGGTGAGGGCTGAGGATGTAAAATATAAGAGTGATCCACTTAGAGATAATAGATGAAGAATGAGATTATATGAAACCTCCAAGACCTAGAATACAAGTAAAAAGATCAAAGAATTCAGCCTGTGGGTACATGTTACAGGCCAGAGGAAGAGCTAGTTAAGGAAACAGAAAAAACAGTGAGGAACGCAGGAAGAAAATATCATCACTACTACCTCATCCAAACTTATATGCTGAGGCCCTAACCCCCAGTGTAGTTGTCTTTGGAGATGGGGCCTCTAAGGAAATAAATAATGTTAAATGCGGTCATAAAAGTGGGGCCCTGATCTAATGGAATTAGTTTCCCTATACAAAGAGACACAGAGCACTTGCCCACACTGTGAAAACGCCATGTGAGGTTATAGGGAGA